TTCTTACGCTCCCTGGGGAGCAAAAGGGGAATAGGGTGGGTTTTGGGAGGTTTGGTGGAAGGAGGAGGAGGAGAGGAGGGAGAGGGAACTAGGAGTAACGTGAAAAAAATTTATACATTTTTTATTTTGAAAATAAAACGAGAATGTAAAAAATCTGAAATGGCTTATTAGGGGAAGTTCTCACAAGGATAAGGATCTATGTACCTCTTCAAAAAATTAGTTCACTGTAGAAAACCACCCATGAATCACATAACTTTGTCTTAATGGCTAAACACAACCCTAAAAATAAACAACATTTAGTTTTCATTATCTGAACTGTATCCCTCTATGTCTCTTTAGGTTCTGAAGAATTAGGAAACCACTTGGATTACCCTGTAATTTTCTGGACATTTCTTTTCATTTTGGGATTATTATATATTGTAATTGCACACATTTTGAATATAAAAACTAATATTTTATAGCATGGCAAATGTCACAGTAAATAAGAGATCAAAAGCACTGAATATCCAAGTAAAACATTTTAAATATGTTAAATAACATTAAAAATGACTGTAGGTACCAAGTAAAACAATATCGTAAAATGTATGCTAGAATATGTTCTACAGAATCACTCAGGTTCTTGTGATATCATAAAGGTCAAAGTTTTAGGTGAGAGGGTTTAAAGCGATACTGATTAAATTTTGGAAATTTTATGTTTTCCTGAATGAATAACGTGAGCTTCAAAAGCAGAGATAATGCTTGTTCTTACAGAAATGAAATCGTTATAGTGTAGTGGGTTGCTACAAAGGTTGCCTTACCTCTTGGGATTCAAATTTAACTTTATGCAAATAAATATCCATACCATTATTGATACTGAGTTTATTGTAGAAGGCTAATGTATGACACTGTGCACTTTGCCTTCTGGAATTTTATTATAACAGCATAAACATACTATAATATGCTAATTATTTCTTTGAGAACATTGGATTGTTTCAGATTAGAACTCTTTACATGAAGAACTCAATCCTTCATAATATCTAATTCTAGTAGACATAATGTTGTACACCTACAATCCCAGATCTCTGGAAGGAGGAGTTTAAGGAGAGTTCATATATATAATATATTTACATCCTAACTCAAAAAAATGGAGCTCAGTGAAATAGCTCAATGAAATAACATTTGAAAAGTATGGCAAACTCATGTACCAAAAACCAATGACAAAACAAAAGCTAAATTCAAATATCTCTTATTTGTAGTTGCCTCTTATTTGTAGTGGTCCATTGTATTACATTAAAGTACATTAACATCTCCAACAGGCATTGATTCATGACACAGAACACATTCTGTTGAAGGCAGACCAAATAATTCAGATCTTTTCATGTTCAATTTAGTGTTTTTGATGAATTTAGATTTCTTAGTTACATATGAAGAATGATCATTATAACGACAATATATACCTTTCTACCATAGAATAGATGTTATCAGAGCTGAACATTAATAATTTTGGCATTGGTGGGCAGTGGTTGCACATGCCTTTAATCCCAGCACTGGGGAGTCAGAGGCAGGCAGATTTCTGTGAGTTTGAGGCCAGGCTGGGACGACAGCCTCCAAAACAATTCAGAGAAACCCTGTCTCATAAAAACCAAATAAATAAATAAATAAATAATTTTGGCATCATTTACAGGAGGAAGCTAGATAAAATAAGGAAGCAAATATGTAATACACTTAACACTTATAACTAGGGGGAAAGAAGCTACTTTGCAAAAACTCTCCACTAAATATCTAAAATGGAAATTGTGTATCCCCTACTCACAGACTCTTCAGTAAAAGATTATTTGAGGATTTTGAAAAAATACATTTGATAATCTTGATTATCATTTGAGATTTCACATGAAGAACTTATGATATGAAATAATTCTTATATCTAGAAAACTTCATGGAATGAGCTCCTTTTGGGGAACCTGTTTTCAGATACCTTTGTCAATACCCTAGCAATTGTAATAATTTTTATAAGTTGAAACTTTCTGTTAGTTAAGATCAATTTTTCTATTTAGCTATACTTAGCCAACAAATTTAACATAGATATTTCTAAAACTATGAACTACATATATTTTATTTTTGAAGAAAATATCACATTATTCACTTAGATTTTTAGTAATGTTTACTTCAAACAAGAATGTACGTTTAGAACATTGTACTGAAACCATAGAGTACAGTAACTGTTTCAAATGCTTAATTTTTTATTGTCTTTTTTCATGAGGTCAAAGATATACATGATATAAAATATAGTCAGTTAACTAGAAGCTGTGAAGACATATATTTAAATTGTGAAAGTAATCATTATTTTAGAATAACTCATTATCATTTCAGCTTTGGAAATTAGTACTTTCAATTTTCTCAAATTAAATATATTACATGAAATCAGCCTCAAAAGCAAGATTAAGCAAATTAATGTTGCATGTGTTTTTTTACAGTATAGGACATTTGCCTATTCTTTACTAAACTTGCATAACTAATTAGCTTTAAATTTTTTCTCTCACAATAAGAAAAGTCTTCTTTTTTTGGTTCTTTTTTAATTTAAATTTAAATTAGAAACAAGGTTGCTTCTCATGTCAATTCCAGGTCCCTCTCCCTTTCCCTCCTCTCCTCCTGTGCCCTACCACCAGCCCCTCCAATATGCACTCATTTGTCCAGGGAGGGTGAGGACCTCCATGGATGTGTCCATAGTCTGTCATTTCTTCCAGGCCAGGGCCTAGACCCTCCCCCAAGAGTCCAGGGTGAGAGTGCATCTCTCATTGTTGGATGGGCACCCAAAGTCCATTTGTTTACCCAGGATAAATTCTGATCTACTACGTAAGGCCCAATAGATTACCTAGGCCTCCTCACTGACACCCAGGTTCAGGGGTTCTTGATCAGTCCCAAGCTGGAATCCCAGACATCAGTCTGGGATTCAAGAGCTAACAATTGTCAGGTTAGATGTTTCTGGGGGGTAAACCAGCCCATTCTTAATCCCTTTGCTCATCAGTTCTCACTCTCTGTCACTAGATTCCTTGAGTTCAGCTCAGTGTTTAGCTGTGGGAGTCTGTGTCTTCTTCCATCAGTCATTGAATAAAGGTTCTGTTTCCCAGACTCACTGGCCATGGGATTATAGGCTGGCATTCCCCAGATCTATGTCTAAAATCCATATATAAGAGAGAGTACATACCATGTTTCTCTTTTTGTGACTGGGTTACCTCACTCAGGATGGTTTCTTCTAGTGCCATCCATTTGCCTGCAAATTTCAGGATTCCATTGTTTTTTTCTGCTGAATAGTACTCCATTGTGTAAATGTAACATATTTTCTCTATCCACTTTTCAGTTCAGGGGCATCTTGGTTGCTTCTAAGTTCTGGCTATTACAAATAATGCTGCTATGAACATAGCAGAGCAGATGTCTTTGTTGTGTGAATGGGAATCTTTTGGATATATGCCTAAGAGCTGCTGGGTCTTGTGGTAGGTTTATTCCCATTTTTCTGAGGAATCTCCATATTGATTTCCAAAGTGGCTTTATGAGTTGGCATTCCCACCAGCAGTGGAGGAGTGTTTCCCCTTCACCACAACCTCTCCAGCATAAGTTGTCATTGGTGTTTTTGATTTTAGCCATTCTCACAGGAGTAAAATGGTATCTCAGAGTTGTTTTGATTTGCATTTCCCGGATGGCTAAGGATGTTGAGCACTTTCAAGTGCCTCTCAGCAATTTAGACTCCTCTATTGAAAAGTCTCTATTTAGTTCTGTAGCCCACCTTTTAATTGGATCCTTTGGTATTTTGGAGTGTTGCTTCTTGAGTTGTTTGTAAATTTTGGAGATCAGCCCTCTGTCAGATGTGGGGTTAGTGAATATCTTTTCTAATTTTGTGGCCTGCCTTTTTGTCTTGCTGACTGTGTCCTTTGCCTTACAGAAGATTCTCAGTTTCAGGAGGTCCCATTAATTAGTTGTTGACTTCAATGTCTATGCTACTGGTGTTATGTTCAGGAACCTGTCTCCTGTAATAATTTGTTTAAGGGTACCACACACTTTCTCTTCTAAGAGGTTCAGTGTGGCTGGATTTATGTCGTGGTTTTTGATCCATTAGGACTTAAGTTTTGTGCATGGCGATCAACATGGATCTATCCACATTCTTCTACATGCCAGCATACAATTATGCCACCACCATTTGTTAAAGATGCTTTCTTTTTTCCATTGTTTATTTTTAGCTTCTTTGTCGAAGATCAGATGTTCATACATGTATGGGTTAATATCAGGGAATTCAATTCGATTCTATTGGTCTACCTGTCTATTTTTGGTGCCAATACAAACTGTTTTCAGGTCTACAGCTCTATAATAGAGCTTGAGGTCAGGGATGGTGATGCCTCCAGATGATCCTTTGTTGAGTAAGGTTGTTTTGCCTACTAAAATTGATTATTGTTGTTTCAAGGTCTGTGAAGAATTGTGCTGGTATTTTAATGGAGATTGCATTTAATCTTTAGATTGCTTTTGGAAGGATTGCCATTTTTACTACTTTGATCCTACTTACCAAGAGCATGTTATGTCAACAATAGTGCAATTCAAAGGTCAGCATTTGTAATGAATTCTGAAATGATATTGGTACATGAAACAAAATATTAGAGTAAAACATTGTTTATGCTGTGCAGATACTTCTATTCACAAAAAAGCACAACTGGAATATTAAGAATTTTGGTGTTTGCTACAAGTATGAGTCTTATTTAACACAAAATGGTGAACTGTTAGGAGTGACAAATTATAGTGATATATCATTTATGATTTATTAAAGCTTGCCTGAGGATTCACGAAGCAAAGTCAGTCACATGCCATAGAAGCCAGGCACATACCTTTAATCCCAGTATCCAGAAGCTAAGAGTTGGTGTTGCACACCTTTAATCCTAGTATTTGGGATTAAGAGATAGACAGATCTCTGTGAGTCCAAGGTCACCCATGGTATATAAAAGAGTGAATCAGTCTAAAAGAATAACAGATCACACACCTTTAATTCCAGTGCTAGAGGGGTATAAAAATAGAAGCAGACAGGTTCTTCAATATTGAGTAGGTGGCATTTCTTCTTCAGTCATGCTGAGGAGGGGTTAAACTCTGAGGCTTGGTGAGAGCATGTGGAAACAGGATCAGCTGATTCATCCTGATGAAGAGGAAAGAAGCTAGTGGCAGATGCTTTGCTTTTCTGATATTCAACTTGAACCCCAACATTAGTCTTTGGTTATTTTATATATTTGTGTTACAACAAAGTGATGTTTGGTTTAATTTGTGTATGATGAAAGAGGTATTACATGAGCTATTCTGCTGGGATGGCCAGGAACCAGATAGGATAATCCAGAGACCTAGGACAGAAACAAACATGACTAGAAAAATGGAAAATCAATAAAGCGATTTCTAATAATATTTTTCTATAGTCATAGATCAGTACCTGTCCACTTGTTATTAGAGAGACTTCATCCAGAACCAGATGGGAGTAAGTGGAGAGACACACATTATGGAAAGACAGACAGAGAGAGAGAGAGAGAGAGAGAGAGAGAGAGAGAGAGAGAGAGAGAGTCTAAGTAGGAGACCATATTTAGGGCCAACACCTTGCAGATCAGGGAAACACATATAAAAGGAAAGGAAAGATTGTATGAGTCAGAGGAGATAAAATACAAAAGGAGAACATGGCCTATCTCTTTTGTGTGCTCTTGAAAATCATTCCTTCTTGTTGAGTTACCCTGTGAAGCTTCAATATGCAGGGTTTTGCCTTGTTATAATGTATCTTGTTTTGTACTAGTTCATTGTGATCTCTTGGAGGTCTATTCATTTCTGAAGGGGCAGTAGATCTTGGTGAGAGGAAAGGCAGTGGGAGGAACTGGGAATAGTGAAAGGAGGAGAAACTGGTTGATATTCATTGTGTGGGAAAATATCTATTTCCTTTCTTCCTTCCTTCCTTTCATCCTTCCTTCCTTTCTTCTGTTTTCCTTCCTTCATTTCTCCCTCCCTTCCTCATTCCCTTCCATTTTTCTTCATTCCTGTATTTCTTTTACATCCTGAGTGCAGTTTCCCCTTCCTCCAAATCAGCAAGCTTTCCTTATGAATATAACAATTGGGATGCAAAGACCAATCTGGGGGGCACTGATTGGGAGGGGATTCTCTGTGGGTTCCGCAGGCATCCTAGACCTGGTTAAAGGGAGGCTGCAGTGGATATTCTGCTGCAGTGAAACTGAAATCTTGAGTCACTGAATTCTGACTTAATTATCAAGTCGTACACTATAATTTCAAACTTCTTTAAAATTGCTTCCACTAACTATTGCAAATCTCATCTTAATTTCCCTATTGTCATCCATATACTGTAATCCTGAAGCATCCCATTCTGTAACTAGAAGGTGAATTTCAATATCCTCAATTGTGTTACAATGAAAGACCTAATATCTAAGTAAAAGAGCTGTAAGTTTATAAGGTTAAAAGAAACTACCAAACAAAGAATTGGGAGACAACTCCCCCCCCCAGTATTATTTAGTTTAATTTTTGTGTGTTAGTCATCTACTAATGGTCATTGTGCCTGCTCATAAGTGTCATTTATATACCCAGTGGAAAAATATATTTTATAAAATATACACTATTCATTTCATAACTCCCATAATTATGCCACTTCTATTTTCAAGAAATGATTAGTGGAAACAATGTGGAAGATGCATTGAAATGATCCATTGTAAGAATTTTTGTGGGGTGTGTGTGTGTGTGTATGTGTGTATGTGTCTGAGTGTGTGTGTGTGTGTGTGTTAGAATCTCCTTATTGCAGTGTAGAGTTTTAAATTTCTTCTTGAAAACCATGACATCATCACAGAGAAAATATATTAGTTCAGAAAATTATTTAATTTCACTTACATTTTGATGTATTTTCTTTTTTCTTAAATTAAATCATTGTTTGAATGCATTAAATATTGACCCTTCAGACACAAATATGTAAAATAATGTGCTCTAATAAGCTGATCTCCATTTTATATAAGATTATTATCTTATCACTTAGAATGTAAGGCATATGGATAACAACACAAAGGTCAACTTATCCAAGGTCATAGGCTAACCTTGCTTTTGTTAATTGATTATTTATTTTTTAAAAAGGAACAAATATAATAATAACAAGAAATTACCATCAATCTTTTTAGTTTTTTAGGACAAGGTTTTATATATGTTTGAAGACTGTCCTGGAACTCTCTTTGAAGACAAGGCTGGCATCAAACTCATGGAGATCTGCCTGCTTCTGCCTCCTTAGTGCTGGGATTAAAGGCCTGTGCCACCACCACCTGGCCCTTTATCATCAATTTTTTAAAAAGCTATTACACAAACAAAAGGATAATAATTTTCAAGAAGAAGCATGGAAACAATGGACAGAAGAAAATGATTCATGGTATGTGTGTGTGTGTGTGTGTGTGTGTGTGTGTGTGCATGTCATATGAAATTCTTCAATTTTCACAATAAAAATGTACTAACAAAACAATATTCTAAAATTATATCCTGATTTTTATAGATATTCCACTTATAATGGCTGCTACATATATCCTTTTGTACTCCAGCAAATCAATGATTATATTTTCCACATTTTTCCAAGGAAAAAGGTTCCAAGGTTTTTAAACTTTGTGAAGTATAAAATCAGGGAAACTTTGATTTAATTTTCAGGTTAATATTTTTCAGATTGCCTATCTCTTCGTTCTTCCAAAATATTCCAGTATTGAGAAACTAATTGAGTGGAGGTATTTCTCATCAACTCAGTCAGTGTAAAATGATTGCATTACTTAACATTGGTATAAAGCCTATTAAAGTTAATGGAATAAAGAATTATATCACTGAAGTAGAAGTGATTGGGATGGCTCCAATAGAGGCAAATGGGGAGAACGGGCAGGGAAGGTTACTTTTCCCTCACATTTCTTTCCATATAGCTTTTATTTTAGGTTGAAGTGGGAGTTAGGGAGACAACAAATATCTACTTAAGAGTGAGCACTGGACTGCCTGTGTGTTTACTGGATTCTGTAGCTTCTTGGGTATTCAATGAGATTACTTTATACTATCACTGTGTACATTTACTTTCCTATAATAATACCATATCCACATCACTGTTGTGCCTTCCATAGCTCCTTATTGCCTGCTTATTTGGTCATTAAGTAACAGACTAGGTCTGCCCTTGTCATGGTATTTAGTTTATTAATAGTAAGCCAATGCCAAATAAAGATAGCAATATTTTGTCTCAATCAACATTGTTACAATTTTTTCTTATTCAGACATAGAGTAAGATTGTTTCTTAAATTTTAAAGCAAATAAACAACAAAATAGCAGGTGTGTATGGATATTTTAATTTCATGTATGCTTGTGCACGGCCTATTGTGCATTACCCATAGAGGCATGGTGGAGGGCACTTTATCCCCTGGAAATGAAGTTACACATGCTTTTGAGTGATTATATGGATGGCTGCTGAAATTAACCTGGGTCCTATGAAATGCAGTTTGTTCTCTGTGCTTGTCTCATCTCTCAAATTCCCAGAATGGTATTCTTCTAATCTCTCCATGTCAAAATACTGCTTTAATCTTTCTCTAAATATTTAAGTCCTTTTGGCAGAATAGATTTATCACTCTTTGAAGGAAAGACTTAAATTTTAACCACATTTTCTTTTAACATTTGAGTATAAAATGCTTGGTATGTATATAAATTTCCTAGAAACCACTTACTTGACAAAAGTGAGTTGTGAAAATTTGTATCCACTTTGGAAATCAGTATGGAGATTCCTCAGGAAAATGGGGATCAATCTACCACAATACCCAGCAATTTCACTCTTAGGCATATATCCAAAAGATGCAAATTATACAGCAAGGACATCTGCTCCACTATGTTCATAGCAGCATTATTTGTAATAGCCAGTACCTGGAAGCAACCTAGATTCCCTCAACTGAAGAGTGGATAGAGAAAATGTGGTACATTTACACAATGGAGTATTACTCAGCAGAAAAAAAAACAATGGAATCTTGAAATTTGCAGGTAAATGGATGGCACTAGAAGAAACCATCCTTAGTGAGGTAACCCAGTCATGGAAAGACAAACATGGTATGTAGTCACTCATATATGGATTTTAGACATGGATCAGGATAGTGCCAGTCTGCATTCCCACTGATAGAGAGTCTGGGAAACAGGAAAGAACCTAAGAGAGATATGCAAGGTACCACAGAGAGCAGGAATGAGGCAAGATCTTCTGAACAGATTGGGAACACAGCGAGGGGTGGGGGGGGAATGGGAGCTGGGAAGAAGAGAGGGGGAGAAGAGGAAGAGAGAGTAGGTCTTGGGGGAAAAGGAAGGTTGAGTGGGAAGGTAGGATGAGAAATACCATAAAAGAGGGAGCTATAGGTTACAAGACAGATCTGGCACCAGTGATACCTCTAGTGATCTAAAGGAATAAAACCAACTGGCAAGCTAAGAAATAGTGGAGAGACCACATTAAATGCCCATTCCTGATAATGAACTTGATGTCTACAATATATGCCATCCTAGAACCTTCATCCAGTGACTGATGGCAGCAGAGGCAAGCACCCACAGCTAAACACTGATACTGAACCCATGGAACCCAGTGACAGAGAGAGAGGAGCAATGAGCAAATTGGCAAAGAATGGGCTGGCAAAACCAGCAGAGGCAGCTGATCTGAACAAGGGGAGCTCCTTAACACCAGATTGACAGCTGGGAGGCCAGCATGGGACTGATCCGGACCCCCTAAATCTGAGAGTCAGTGAGGAGGCCTGGGCAACTTATGGGGCCCTGGGCAGTGGATCAGTGTTTATCCCTGGCATACAAACAGACTTCGCGTGTCCATAACACAAAGAGGGATGCTCTCTCAGCCTGGACTCTTAGGGGAGTGCCTGGACCCTGCCCTGAGTGAAATGACAGATTCTGGATATCCTCTATGTGGAAGGAAGGAAGTGGGGATAGGGTGGGAGGCTAGGGGGGAATGGTAGGGGTTTGCCAGAGGAGGTGAGGGAGAGGGAACTGGGATTGACATGTGAAGCAAGCTATTTAAAATGAAAGTAATAAAATAAATAAATAAATAAATAAATAAGAAAATTTGCCCTGTACATATATAATACTCAGAGGTTTTCAGAGAAATTAAACAAACTAAATCTAGCTAGTAAGTCTGATGTATGTATATTATAAGGAACTGGAACATGTACTTTGAATATGAGGAATTCCTTATCTACAGTAGGCAGCTGTGGAAGTCTGTGAAACTTTACCATACTTTTCTAATGTGAGATATCAAGAAAGGAGGAATGAGAATGTCCTACCTTTAGAAGTCTGAGAATCAGGTGGAATTACTTCTTTTCATTTTTAATTGATTTGTTTTTATGATAAATTGAGTCTAGCTTATTTCATTTAACACAAATATGTGCAGTTCCATCTATTATCCTGCACATGATATGTCTTAATTTCGATATACCTTAATCAGACTGTCAATGAAATGGTAGAGTCATATGTGATCGAAAATCCTTAGGCCAATATCACACTAATAATTTATCAAGTATCTAGTAATAAACTTGATATTATGAGTTACATATATGTAAGTTAAGATTGAGAACAAATCATTCAGTACCAAACAATCAAATACAGTATGGCATGTGATCAGATTTTCACAGAATCCTGTTCATATTAGGATGAAATGACATCGTGGTCCATCTGGAATCAGCATCATCTTAGGGACATTGTCCAATCATAAATAGTAGATGTGATCATTCAGGTTTTCAAAGCTAAAATTGTTCTTATACAATGTCAGGTGCCTTGATAAAAGGCTGGGAAACAATTTAAAACATAAGGCTGGGCGGAAGTGGTACATGCCTTTAATCTCAGCACTTGGGAGGCCGAGACAGGTCTGTGAGTCAAGAGCAGCCTGGTCTACTATAGCTAGTTCCAGGATAGCCTCCAAAGCCACAGAGAAACCCTGTCTTGAAAAACCAAAAACAAAGAAATAAAACATGTTTTGGTTATTTAGTACATTATTCTCTCAAGAGAGACTTACTCACTCTAAGTATTAAAATTGGTCCAAACATAGAAATCCAGTTGGAAGCCTAGACTTGTTCATGTAATTTAGTTCAGATGTCTGTTCACTTCAACTCCAACATCTCTGTTCTTACTCCTGGATGGAAGTAGATATAAATGAATAAGACCAGCATTGTAACACCGTGTAACTGAGTCAAACCCACTTCTGCTTTGATGGTACTGCCAAATACTGTAATAAAGTGAGCCTGACTTTGATGTTTGAGTTTCACCCAAGATTAATTACTCAAAATTCATTTTTACTGTAGAACTCCATTCCTTGCTATAAAATATATATGGATAACAGGATCCAGAAAAATTTCCTATGGGACAATTTCCTTTTCCAATCATGTAACACAAACATATATGAAATAGAAAAATAGAATGGTGATAAATTACTTACTATAATGTGATCTAAATTTTTTCTATGTTTCTTTAAGAAACAAAAAAATGAATTAAGGTAAGGGGTCAGACTTGGTAGTTAAATGTCACTTAAGAAGTATCATTAATATACTTCATATTTTGTAATCATGTATAAAGACCCTGATATGTGGTTCACAGAAAATTTTCATATCACTAGGAGAGGGCCTTGTGCAGTTTTATGTTATGAAATGGATCTGTGTAACCTAAGGCTAGCTATTATAAATCATAAAGAAAGTCAGGTTTATTGAATATCAGATTTCCATTAAATCATATTCGTACACAAAGATACAGTTCAAATTGTAATTGAGGCTGTCAGCTTTCATTCATCTTACAAAGGATTATTCCCACTGTGCACTACTCATTCCTTTGTATTTACAATCAATTTATCAGACTCTCCTTGTTGTAAGAAGATAAAAAGGATAGGCTGGAGTTTCTCCATTACTGCTAACAAAATAGTAGTGACTTTTGATCATAAAAAGAATATTTCCATTTAATTCCAAACCACATAAGGCATCAAGGTATACTATTTTGCCAGGAAGCCACATAAAAGAAAGGGGAAATTGTATGGGTTAAAAATAAAGACCATCAAAACCCCCTGAATCTGGGTGTCAGTGAAGAGGCCTAGGGAATCTATTGAGCCTTGGGCAGCAGATCAGTACCCATCCCAAGTATACACACGGACTTTGGACTCCCATAGAACAATGTGAGGTGCACTCTCACCCTGAACTCTTGGGGAAGGGTCTAGGCCCTGCCCTATATGAAATGACAGACTATGCACACGCCCATGGAGAGCCTCACCCTCCCTGGGGAAATGAGGGGGTAACAGGGGGGGTTGGGGGGAGGGCACGGGAGGAAGGGAGGGAATGGGAGAGGGACCTGGAACTGACTTGTGAAGCAACCTTGTTTCTTACCTCAATTTAAACTGGAAAATAAAATAAAATAAAATAAAATAAAGACCATGCCATCACTCAAGTAATAGTCTCAAGATAAATTAAATTTACCTAAGAAATTTCTAGCTAGACATCATGGTTCACACCAAAAAAGTTAATACCTGGGAGGAAGAGGCAGTAAGATGGCTTCCCTCCTAATGAGTCATAGGTCAGCATAGTCTATGTAGTGAGATGCTGTGGTTAGGTGAAAGAAATTCCACCAAAATATGTGAGAATTGTTGAATTGCTCTAATAATCACTAATATTGCCCATCAAATTTTATTGTAACCATTGAGATTTCTTATGAAGTATATATTTAGCCAATTTAGAAGAAGGGAAGTTTATAAATTGCTGAATACATGATTCTAAAAATCAGTTGAACTTTATTCTGTTTAATATCCTTTTATTTTACCTTTTGCTATAAATCTTTACCAATATGGGGAAATTATTGTAGACTTTTCATGTGACAGTCAATGCACATGAATACAGTTGACAGTCTCAAACATTTTGTGCTATTCAGTTTAGGTACATGCTGAAACAAACAATTTTTATCATGAATGTGAACCTTAGCATAGAGTTCTATGTCAATATTCCTGGGTTTCTGGACCACACTCATGTTCTCTGTCTTTTAGAGCTCATTGTTAATTCATTCACATACTGTACTTGTTTTTCTGAATAAATTCATTTGTTTACATATTTTCTAAATGTTTGAAAATCTTCACTGCATAACAGCTACTAATGGTGAGTCCTGAAATTTTATCTTACTAATTGGTAGTTGTTGCCTTAGTGGTTTATTTCTAGCCATGGAGACAACATCCAAATAGTCACTAGGCACAAAAAGCACAAAGTTATACTCTGTCAATAATGTAAAAAATTGTCTACAATGTATGAAACTCTTGGATTGAGAAAATATTTAATCTCTAATCTGTCACTAATAATTCCATCATAATTTAATTCAGTAATTTATGAACTTTGGTCCACAGTACTTATGATTTTTCACATTGCTTTCCATGGTATAATACTTGATTCATTTGAATTCTAGAAAAATTTAACATATAATTATGAAAACAGATTTTTCATCTGAGATTGGTGATATACTTTTGAATCTTGCTTTAGGACATAGAATCAAACTGATCAAGCATTCAATACAAACCTGGATTATTTATCCAGATTGTGCCTTCCCTACATCAAAAAATGATACCTGTGGTTTTTTTCTACAATAATAGCTGAAATTACTGACACCTTTCCAAATTCTCATGTTGTATGGCTTTTTTGCTTTTCAAAAATAATTAATAGAATTATGAGAAAAGTGCTGAATAATTTTTTGTGTCTTGAGACAGCTTCTCTATAGCTTTGGAACCTGTCCTAGAACTGTTTCCATAGACTAGGCTGTCCTCAAACCCGCAGGGATCTGCCTGCCTCTACCTCCTTAGTCCTGGGATTAAATGCATGATCCACCATTGCCTTTCAAGATATGGATATTTTTATTGTGTTATTTTAATTCACAGTCCTAAAGCTCATATCTTGGCTAATAGAACTTAAACAAATGTTTTTGTAACAATCATTGTAGCCTATGTGCTGAGTACTGATGACAGAGAAATACAGATTGTGCAAATCTATCACTTAGGATCTGAATTTTAAGTGAATTATGCATTCATATGTGTTTGTCACATTGTATGTATTTATATAAAGATGTAACATGCGCTTGTTTGAAATTTTTGTAAACAGCATTTCAAAGGTATTATAAAATATGAGTATCTTAAAAATTAACATTTATGGAGCACTTTTAAACATACCCCATCATTTGTCTTAAGACTTATATAAAGGACAATAAAATAAGTATTTAATGCCAGTTTTATGAGCTTTGTATATAGTAATGGTTAAAGATCAATAGTGAGGGCTGCTAGACTTGCTTCCTCCAGAAATTTAGGTGATGCAATGGAAGATGCTAGGCAGATACAGCTTTGTGAAGCATTGTCTTTCCTTTTTTTTAATCTAGGAATCTTTAACACTGATGATGATTTCTAGTAGATGACATTTTGTGGATGAAAACTGCTCACGCTGACATGCTTCCTTCCTCCACCTCTTCATCCAGGTGCACCACCAATTTGCTTAGTCAGCATCATTTTTTCAGATGTGTTTCTTGAACAGATACTGAAATAACCAAGCTGTCATCTCCACTCAATCCATGGAAACCCTAAACTAATTTCTCATACACAAATTTCCATGTGTCCTGGTGACATGTGCTTTTGCACCTCACAGAGGAAAACGATCTCAAAATTCCTCAGAGATCTTTCGGGAGCATCATCTCTGACTTGGACAACTAGTAGCCTCTCAACTCAACCTTTGAGAGGCTAATTCTCCTTCTTCCTGTAATCATTAGTTTCCTGTAGTTCTTTGTCTGTGACCAGAACCCTAGAAACTTCCCCTACCCCACATTAAATTTCTTTTAATGTTGGCATTGTTCTGACTTTAATAATGCAGTCATTTCAGGAAAGACCTTAAGTGTAGACTTCCTGCCACTCTGGCTCTTACAGTTTCTCTCCTCTCCTGCAGCATTTCCTGAGCCATAGATGCAGGGGCTTTGCATGGACATTAGGAAACAACCCACTACTCTCACTTTAATCAGTATACACAACAAATCAGATCCTTATACCAACAGATAAGTGCAGTTATCATTCCTCAAAAAGAAATGTCACTTTACAGCAAATGGAGATCATTACAGAAAATCACAATGAGGAAAAATGCAGAGATCCATAAATATTTGAGAGCACAGTCCCAACTCAGATGTTTATATCTCAGGTCCTCCTGTGAGTTTATTAAGGGTAGAGCAGGGTCACAGGCATTGTCTGTGGTTTTCAAAAGTCTCAAGTCAGTTCCTTTGATGAGAGGTCATCTCTGCCTTGTTCTTACAGAAAATAGTGACTTACATTTTGCTAATGCCTTAGTACATGATGTGGTGTCTTTAGGTTTTCATGACCTCTGAGTATCTCACATATAAACTGTTTTCTCCTTTGTGATCATTAAGTTGACTTGAGCAATGCTTTCTTCAGTTATGAGAATCTGATGCTTGTGAGCATGACAGAAGAACTTTAATGGACTGAAAAAACATATGACATGTTGATGCTTTTCTCACAATGGTGGATGTTTGCTATCTTAAGCTGATTATCATAAAACATTTTATGATTTGTCAAATTTTATAACATAGACACTGAAGAGTATGTTTTTGTCATTAATTACTTATATTCCTACTCACTTCTTAGACAAACACAACTGTTGTAAGATTAGTCCTAATTTACAATTAAAATAATTATTTTCTTAGGACTTATACTATTGATTCATTATTAATATTATACATGTATATAAATACTTGTGTGGATATATGTATACATAATATAACTGGTAAGTTATTTCTCTTCTGAAAAGACATAGAAGCTATACATTGTAGTTTTACCTTTAAACAATATAATTGTTTAGCTTGACAGTTATACATAAATAGATATTCAGTATCCAAAAGGGTAATAGTTCATAAAGTTTCAATACCACCTCTTATATGTGTGATTAGTTTATCTATTAAAAAGCTAAGTTAATGGGTATCTAGCTAATATACTATGAATTTAGACTTACTACCTTTATTTGAAACTTTTAAAAACAATTAAATAGGCATATATGTGTACAGAAAGTAAAATCAGGACATATGCTGACACTTTATTCATTTTCATCAAAGTAGTCTATTCTTTAATCATTC